CCCTAAACCCTAAACTCTAAACTTCAGAGTTTAAGGTCTAAGGTTGAGGGTTTCGCTGATACGGTTGAGGGTTTACGGATTCAAGCGATTTAGGCGTTGAGGCGTGAGGGTTTGGGATTTCTGCTCAGGCTTTCGGGGGCCTGAGGATTCCCTTTGAGGCATTTGAAGTTTGAGGGCTTTGTGGGGGAGTTGCCAGTCATAGGGTTTAGGGCTCTTTACGGCTTAGGATTTTGGCAGGGCTTGGTTTTTCCGATTACTGCGCAACGTTTGTTGCCACTGCTGTGGGCTTCTTTAAGTGTAGTGGCAAGCCTTTGCTGCTGCAAGCGACGCCGGCCCTTATTGGACGTACACTTCAGGATTGAGGGCTTAGTGCACATTCAATTAAATTCTGAAGTTCAATGGGCGTGCAAGCATTCATGCAAACAGACCGCCCCTTGGCCACAAGGCCACTTAAGCCCCAAACTCTAAGCCCAAATAGTACGGCACCCAAAAAGGACCCTCAAGGGGACCCCGAATTTAGAGAGCTACCCTACTAACGACCCCAATCTCTACATCCGGGGCTTCCACAGTGCGCATCAGGCGATCCTTGCCTGCCCCAGATGCAAGATGGGGGAGCTTGAGGCTCCAGGATGGACGGCTTAGGGTTTCGGCTTTGAAAGATTCAGGGTTTAGGGGTTTAGTTAGGGGTTTAGGGGTTTAGGGTTTAGGGCTATCGTCATCTTCATCTTCATCATCGTCTTCATCGCCATCATCTTCAGCATCATCTTACGTCATCGTACATCACTCTAAATCACTAGAATAGGGGTTCTAGAAAGGGCCCAGAGACTTCAATATCCCTTAATTACGGAATATACCTTAAATTATAGTAGGATCCCTAATATGATTTAAGGTATGTTCCTTAATTAAGGGATATTGGAGTCTCTGGGGGCTTGGAGTTTGCAGGCAAGCTTGGCTTCAGGAGTTGCAAGATGAAGCGATTGGCCGGGATCCCAGTATCGAGTATCCAGTATCGCAGGTTTAGAGGGTTTAGGGTTTAGGGTTTAGGGTTTAGAAGGCTATCCATTCTTCACCCAGAAGCCCTGAAAATCGGACCCCCGACCCGAGACCCTTAATATTAACCCTAAACCCCAAACCCTAAACCCCTAAACCCTAAACCCTAAACCCTAAACCCTAAACCCTAAACCCCAAACCTATACACTAGGCCCAAAGCCCTTGAGCCCTCAGGCCCGAAACCTAAAATCCGAATCCCTGAACCCTGAACCAACCCTAAGGCCCTAAACCCTAAACCCGAAACCCTAAACCCTAAACCCTAAACCCTAAACCCTAAACCCTAAACCCTAAACCCTAAACCCTAAACCCTAAACCCATATCCGAATCCTTAAACCCTGAAACCTAAACCCAAAGCGCTGAGCGCAGGGCCTTTGATCTCACCCTGGATCTTGTGAGACTCCATGGAATTCCAGGTCTCGCCTGGCGTGGGGCAGGGTTCGGGGTTTAGGGCTTAAGGCTTGGGGCTGTAGGGTTTAGGGTTATTGTTTAGGGCTTGGGGCGTGGGTTGGAGCTTAGGGCTTTGAGTGAGGGTTACTTAGCAAGTAGGGATATACACACCTTTACAGGGGTTTGAAAACGCAGTAAGAGCTAGATTTACCTTACGCGGGCTCAACTCCAAACCCCCAACTCGTCTCCAAACCTCATAAAAACCATACAGACAGAGCCTCCGCAGAACCTATACTTATAATCATCTCCACTTACTGAGTACAATGATCGATTCTTGAAATTAAGTAGGCTTCAGACCTATAGGTGTAGCTTTCCGGGTTTAGGATTGAAGGGTGTAGGGCTTGGTGCTTTTATAGGGCTTTAGAGTTTAATGTATGGGCCTAAATAACTACCAATACTATTTTCCTTATTATAATTATAGTATAATGGGCCCCAAAACCCTATTCGAATTATTAAGGCCCCTCTACTAGGGTTCAGGGTTTTAGGTTTCAGGGTTTTGGGTTCAGGGCTTCGGCCACACCAACCAGGGAGACTCTCCGGAGAGGCCGGCATCTTAGGGTTTTTATGGGGGAATTCTCTAAATGAGGGTCCCTTTTTAGGTCCCCGCTATAGTGCGGCACCCTTTTAAAAAGGACCCCAAAAGGGGCATATAGGGTTTAGGATTTAGACGTATTTCCGGAATATTTCGGGGCCCAGAAGCCACCTAAGCAGGAGGATCTCACAAGTAGGATTTCTGGGACCCCCAAACCTAGGGCTCTTCGGGATGCGTGAAGCAGTCAGAACAGAGCCAGTCTCCAAGCAACTGTTTGGGTTTAGGGTTTAGGGCCGTTTAGGGGTTTAGGGGTTTAGGGGTTTGGGGTCTGGGGTCTGGGGTTTAGGGTTTATGTTGATGATATAAATCCTACAGCACCTTAAGGACCCTAAACTATGGGACATACTATAACTATAATAAGGACCCCCAGAATAGTGTAGGTGGACCCTACAGCATCTGCGACTTTCTTTAAAAGTTCTCTGAGACTCCCCAGCACGTCGGCAGGGCCTTCGTCTTTCTGGAGCGGGCCTTGCAAATAGTGCCTGGGACGGTGTAAAAATTTAGGGTTTAGGAGTTGAGGAAGGCTTAAAGGGACCCTCAAAGGACCCTTAAAGGGACCCTTAAAGGAAGCCTTAAAGGGACCTAGCAGACTCCGCGGTCAGCAGCTGAACCGACTTCGAGCGTTCTCTGGAAAAAGTCCTGATCCGAAAAAAGGGTTTTGAAAAGGGCTTTGAAATCGGGACAGGGTTGAGAAATGAGGGTTTTGAGAGTCCGGTCTTTTTGGGGGGTTCCTAAAAAGGTGTTTCTATAGGGGTTTCCAACAGCGTACTATAAGGGTGCCATGGGGGCACGGGCACCTCGGGGCTTTCAGCAGTCTTTTTTGTCTGGTGATTGGCGCCTGGCATGTCACTAGCTAACAGCTGCAGCGGCTTTGATCTGCTCGCCCACCTTCTTTGAAGAAGCAATGCTGAGGCCCATGGTCACGAGACTCACGGCAACGGTGCAGAATCCGCGCGAAGTCTTGTACAGCTCGACTGGGCCGTCTGCGCCGTTGAGGATCTTGTTCATCGCTGGGCAGTATTTTTCGTTGATGTGGTGGTTCGTGAGGCCGGCAATGAATGGCGCAAGCAAGCACATAAACGAGGCGAGTATACCTACCCCTGCGACAATGCCAAGCAAGGCCGTTGGCACTTCCTTGACTTTGCTGTGGCTGATACCGAGACAGATGGCGTTGAGGACCAGGATCAGTATGGTGAAGATCACAAAGTACCACCACGTGCTGTCAACCCAGTCCCTCCTCTCCTGCCATTCGGACATGCTGACCAGGCACTTGGCGACATGAAAGTCAAGATGAATGCCAGGCGGGGGGAAGTTAAGCTTCTCTGGGCCTACGTCCATCTTTCCATCCTGAGCTACGATCTTCGCATCGGCATATTCAGAGTCTGACCGAAGACCGTCTGCGACTGGTGAGAAGAGCGCCCCCAGGACACAGTAAAGCAGCCACTGCCGCCAGGGAAGTGCCACCGATAAGCGAAGCAATATCATGGAAGGGCTTTGACAAATACTTGTGAGTCTGGTGGCTGCGAGAGAGTGCCCTGACCTGCAAAAACCGAGGTCTTGGCATAGAAAGACAGAAAGACCTGCTTCCAAAACTCATCGGGACCCCAAACAATCGCTGTGGATGTGGTAGGAAATCCCGTTCTATGTATTCATGCCCCTGTACTGCCTAAACTAAAACCCTGAAAGTACCCCTGACAGTAACCTTTTCAGAACCTTCTAAGATTATAGGGTATACTCTAAACCCTAAACCCTAAACCCTAAACCCTACTGACCTGCCGAATTTCAAGTTCCTTCGCGGTTTTTTGAGAACCTGGGGGAGCCGAAGGAGGCCGAAGCTGGGCTTTTGGGTTCAGGCTCTAGGATTTGCGTTTAGTGCTTTTAGGGTTTAGGGTTTTGGGTTTAGGGTTTAGGGGTTTAGGGTTTAGGGTTTGTGCACAAAATGCAACCCTCCTTACTGAATAGAAGGATCCCTACTGCAATCCTGTGTGGACCCAGGATCGGGAGCTAGGATTAAGGGGACCCTTGGGGATCTAGACCCTCTCAATAGGGTCCCCTTTAAGAGAGCCAAAAGTAGGGTTCAGAAGGGGTACCCTTTAAGGGGTACCCCTAATAATACTACCTCTAATACTGCTTGTTCACAAGGGTTCGTATGATTTTGTAAACTTATCATAGGAGAAATCCTGAAGGCGAACCCCTGGCCATGCAGAGCCACGGTTTTGGGTTTAGGGTTTAGGGTTTAGGGCCTAGGGTTTAGGGTTTGGCGTTTAGGGTTTATACTTTGGCTAGGGTGTTAAGAATTCTAGATGGGCTTGCGGGGTGTAGTCTAGGGACCTTGTAGTTTAGAACATGATCAACACAGTTTCGGGGAAGATTTAGTTGCTAGGTATCAAAATAAGGACTGCAAGTAGAAGTGCTACTAACTACGCGCCAATGCTTAACCCTAAACCCTAAACCCCTTGAACGTTCAACTCCCCAACCCCTGCAGAGAACAAACGGAAGATTCAGAAAATGAAGACGCGAATGTAGAACCCAAGTAGTAGAGGATCCCCCTAAACCCTAAAGCCTAAACCCTAGACCCTAAGCCCCAAACACTAAACCAAAGAAAAGCAATCCTGGGTTGAATACACAAGTTGTAGCTTACGGTTAGGGCCTACTATACCTTAAGGGAACCTTAAGAACGCTAGTGATACCAGCAAAGGCGAAAGGTGTAGAGCAAAAGCCGAAAGAATACTCGTGCGGTACTTATGGTTAGTGCTCTAAATTAGGGTCCCCTTCAGGGTCCTTTGTATCGGGGTTCGGTACTATATTTGGGATCTAAAGAGGGACCTGGCTTTAGAGGACTACTCTTATAGTCACAAGCATCATGAACAGCAACTGGGCCGTAAACACTAAACACCTGCATCCCCCAACCAGAAACCCTCTAAACCCTAAGCCCTAAACCCTAAACCCTAAACCCCTAAACTCCAAACTCCAAACACAAAGCTCTGAACTCCAAGCTTTTTTAACCCTAAACTCCCAAAAACTCCCAAGCCCCAATCCCAAAACTCCAAACTTACCCCCAAACCCTAAACCTAAACTCTCAAACCCCCAATCCCAAAACAACAAACTCCACTGGGAGGTTCATGGGTAGTGATAAGTAGGGTTATAAGTAGGGTAATTATACTTATAACCTGGATTAGGGGACTTATAACTCCACTTATAGCTACTCATGAACCTCCAAGCTTACCCCAAACCCTAGACCCTAAACCCTAAACCCTAAACCCTAAACCCTAAACCCTAAACCCTAAACCCTAAACCCTAAACCCCAAGCTTTTTTGAGAGCCCGGCGGGGCTTCGTACCAGCTCTTGGCTTTCCAACGCCTTAGCACAAGTGGGCAGTTCTCTAAGTTAGGGCCCCCTTAGGGCGGCCATCTTAGGGCTCCTTTAGGGTTTAGGGTTTAGGGTTTAGGGTTTAGGGATCTATCAGGGTTTCTATAAAGGGTACTATAAGGCTGGTTCTCTTCCTTTTTTAATAAGAGTGCCTTGGTATAGTGGGGACCCGACCCTAGTTTAGAGCACTACCCAAGTGGCGACTGGCGAGATCGGACCGACGTAGGGTAGAGGCTTTTAGGGCTTAGGGTTTTAGGGTTTAGGGTTTAGGGGTTTAGGGTTTAGGGTTTAGGGTTTAGGGTTTAGGGTTTAGGGTTTAGGGTTTAGGGCTTAGAGTTTTAAGGTTTAGGGTTTTGGGCCTTGGGGCCTTGAACATTGGAACAAAGCTTAGCGTTTAGGTTTCAGGGTTTAGAGTATTGGAACAGGATTTTGGGACGTATTAGAGCATATCTTGTATTAATAAGGAACCCCGGAGGAATAGTATTGGTAGTGGTTTAGGCCTCTATGTTTGGGTTCGGCTTCAAGGTTTACAGCTGTGTGGCTTGGGGTTCAATGTGTCAGGGCTATACTCGGATGCACCTTTGGGCCCTAAACCCGAAGGGTTTCCCTAAACCCTAAACCCTAAGCCCTAAACCCTGAACCCTGAACCCTAAACCTAAACCCTGAACCCTAAACCCTAAACCCTAAACCCTAAACTTTGGTCTTTGAGAAGTTTCGGGCTTCGGGGCGAGTTAGTTAGCAGGGATTGGTTTTGGAGGGCCCTATACTCCTGGAGCATCACACACCCAAGTCATTCCGGTGCCTCATGGCCAACACCAGAAAGTTGGAACATGAAGTTTAGTTAGGGTTTAGGGTTTAGGGTTTAGGGTTTAGTGTTTAGGGTTTAGGGTTTAGAGCTTAGGGTTTAGTGTTTAGGGTTTAGGGTTTAGGGTTAAGGGTTGAGGGTTTAGGGTTTAGGGTTTAGGGG